GGGTGCCCAGCACCGTGGCAGGCAGCCTTCTTAGAGGGCCGGGACCCCCAGAGCCAAGAGGCGGTCGCCCCGAGCCTCAGAGTCCCGGTGTGTCAGCCGACCCTGCTGCACGTTACCGAGACCCTCCCTGGGGCCACCTTCTCTCTTCTCGCTCGGGACCCATAGCGAGCGTGGCGGTGTCAGGAGACCTGGGCAAACAAGGCTCAGAACACTGTTTGCTGGGGTCCCACCTGACCACCGTATCTTCTTCTTGACACTCAGCTTCCCGAGACCGCAGCCGCGGGCCTGTCAGCACAGAGAGAGCCCTGGATGAGCTCCGCCCGACACCTGGGTCCCACCACCATCGCTAGACTGCAGCCTCCCCTCCCCGAACCTGGCATGGGGGGGAGACCAGCCAACTCTGCCCCTCACAGGGAAGGGGAAGACCCTCCTTGTGCGTAGACAGGTGCACGCCTGCCTGAAGGGGGCGCCGCTGTTGGGGGCGTGGAATCCACACAAGGAAGGAGCAAAGGCCATGGCAGGTCTGAACCCCCCACCCCCACCCCAGCATCATGAGCCGGTCTTTGGGGCGGTTCCCCCAGTTCCCTCTGCACCCCAGAGTTGACATAAAAAATGAGGAAATCTGCCCTGGCCGGTTTGACTCAGCGGTGAGTGTCGGCCCGTGGGCCAAAGAGCCATGGGTTCAGTCTCGGGTCAAGGGCACATACCTCGGTCTGAGGCTCAATCTCCGCCCTGGTCAGGGACCTGCGGGAGGCAACCAATCAGTGTGTCTCTCGCGTCGATGTTTCCCTCTCTCTCTACCCCCCTTTCTCCACCCCACTCTATCTAAAAAAAAATCAATGGAAAAAATATCTTCAGGTAAGAATTAATACATATATATAATAAAATGAAAATGGGTACGTCTGATGGGGTGGAGACAGTGTGTCCAGACTTGTGCTTCACAGACGGGAAATACTGAAGACAGTGTAGCAGGTCCACACTGAGGGGTCCGCCCTCTTCCTGCAAACATGCCACCTCGTGGAAGGCTCTCCCGGGGTCCTGGGCGCTTGTGGATTCCGAAGTCAGGGTTCCAGCGGTCTGCGCAGGAGTTCGCCGCTCCTCTGAAGCGCCCATCCGACCCCGGCAGCGGGAGCTGGGGGCCGAGGGCCTGGCTCGGCTGGCCACTGACCTGACCTCAGACAGCTGTGGCCCCTGGACGGTAGCTCCCTCCCTGCTCACTGGGCAGTGACCGCCCCGCCACAGGGTCAGGCTTGCTCCGGGGAGGCGCAAGGGACAGGGGAGACCCTGACTTACTGGCCTCTCCCCTGGTTTTCTCGAGTGTCGCTGCACTAGATAAGTGGCTTCTGTTCCGTGACATCAGACTGAACTCTCGGGAGAAAGCCACCTTTGTGCATCTGGGGACATCCAGAGCCCAGGGGACACATTTCTTGCAAGTCTGGTGACTTGGTTCTGCCTTGCAGCTCAGAGGCGTTAAATCATTTGTCAAGGTCACGGGTGAGGTCAGCTTCACACCTGGGTCTCCCGAGTCCTACTGCAGCACGTCGGTCATCCCTGTAAGATATTCACGACAGGCCGATGGGAGCCGGACACGGCTTCTGTGAGGCTCCAGCAGCCCCAGGAGCGGCCGCCCTGCGGGGCGGAGGGACAGCCTGGCGGGGCGCCACCTCCAGGCAGGCCTCCAGCACCGCAGCCTCCCTGAGGGCCTCAGACACCTGTCAGGCAGGAGGAAACCATTCTCTGACCCCAAAAGCCGACAGCAAATTGCACTAAACACAGCCGATCCAAGGTAGGGGTCTCTGGTTGCGATGGGCGACGGGAGGGTCCACTCAGTGGCCTGCCTTGTACGCCAGCCCCTCGGGTCCATTGTGAAACCTGGGGGATCCATGGACCCCAAAGGGCACCGGGACACCAGCCTCAGCTCAGCCGTCCTCTCCCAGTCCGCGGCCCCGGCCCTGACCTCGGCGGCCCAGAGAGCCCCCCGGACCTGGGCGGCGGGCGGGCCGGAGAACCACCGCTGGCCGCTTTTGCGCTGGGAGCCGGCCAGGTTCCGTAGTGGCTCGCAGGCGCGGACCCCCGTTCGCTGCCGCGCTGGGGTGCTTTCCTGTGGCGAGGGCGTTGCTGAGAACCCGGCATCTCCTTGAGGGAGGGGCCACCTCGAGGCCGTCCCTGCAAACCCTGACGGAGACAAATGGCCCTCTTGTCCGAGGCAGCGAGCACCCCGGCCATGGCACATTAGTGGGGTCCTGAGAAACGGGGGCTGCTCGGCCCGTCTCCTCCGGGCCTTTATTCCGCGCTTCATCCTGAGCGGAGCCGATTGGTCAGGGCCCCTGCGGTCGGGGAGCTGGGTTTCTGAGCAGGGGACAGGGTTCCCTCGGGACTTAAGAAAAGCCTTTGATTCCGTGTGTCCAGGGGCCGAGCGTGGGGGGAATGCTGAAATGAGGGGTGCCAGGAAGGGGGGGCAGCTGCGAACTCACAGTTCCTCCCCAGACCTGCTGTCACTGGGAGAGGCCCCCCTCTCCAAGGCTCCCCCGCCCGCTCCTGCTCCTTCGTGGGTGTTCAAAGCTCTCTAACCCTCGCGCTGGGGTCTGGGTCCCCCCAGTGCCTGTCCTGGACGGCTCTGGGCGCTCCCTCCAGAATGGCCGAGGGACTTGATTACAAAGCTGGGAAGTATTACAGGGAGACCAGCGTCAGGAAGCCTGGTCCCCTGCGCGACCATTTTCTGATTGTTGACAAGTGGGCACCCCGGAGCGGCAGATGCTGTGCAACAGGACGCCTGTGCCCTGCCCATCCGCCTGGACTGGCCCCTCCCCACCGGAAGGGTGCGGGGCGCGCTCTCTGCTGGGGGCCCTCACCAGCCGCAGCCCCCGCCTTGTCACGTTTGAGGCCCTGCTGGGTGCTGGTATTGGACTCCCCCCGGGCCGCCCACTGGCGGGAGGGGCACGGGTTCTGATCCGGATCCATCCTGCTCACCCCCTTTCCCGCCTGTGCCCTGAGCCCAGCTTCATGTCTGTGACATGGGGTGCTGTGCTAGCCACTCACACCCGCCGTGGTGGGCCCCCCCCGTGAACATCCTGCCCAGCTCCATCACCCCTGGGATGCCAGAGGGGACAGCTATCATCGGGTTATGATACAAAACAGGCTGCTCCTGAGGAAGACACTCCGTCACTAACCTCTTCAGCACGCGGATTACGGGCGTCCCAGCTCGGCCCAGAACACACCCCTGTAAGTAAGCGCCTCAGAAGTCATCCTCCGCCTCCACGCCCTCCGCTTAGCGATGGTCCTGGAGGCTCTGGGGCGGCGGGGACATGCTCCCCTGTCCTCTGGGCTGTCCCTGCTTCACTCACCTGCCACCTGCCTCACTGTCAGTCCCCTGCCCCGTCGGCTATGCTGCTCCCTGTTCAGACAGCTTTGCTGTCACTGTTACGTGCAGGAAAGGAAGGCGTTCGAGCTCCTCACCATCAGCCCAGCTGCCCCCTCACCTCTCTGCCAGCCCCCGGCGCCCTGAACTGACCGCTGAACAAACCCTCCGGCAGGGTCGGGCTGCCGTCTCCCTTCCACGGGCCGGGTGCCCCCCTCACCCCTTCCCTGCCTAGGAAACCAAACCGCTCAGCCTCGAGCAGTGCCCACCTACGCCCATCGGGGGGCTTCCTGGTTTGTGGTCGCCTGTCCTCTGGGCACCCCAGTGCCGTGGGCAACGTCGGCCAGTCTCACGGAGCCCGAGGGAGGCTGCCGGAGGCTCGTCTTCCACCCCCTCCGGCCGGCAGAGGCCGAGCCCGTTGCGTCTTTGCGTCCACGGTGCCTGGCACACGGAGGCACCCCCAGGCCCTGGGCACATGCCCGAGCAATGTATCCAGCGAATAAACCTCCGCCGGGGTCTCTGCAGGGAGCTTCTCTCGCACTGAGCTGCAGGCTCCGCAAAGTAATAACGTCCTCAGAGTTCTGGGAAATCCCGTATCACGGGGGCCAGGCGGGCGCGTGCCGGAGGGGCAGAGGGACGGACGGAGCTCTGGGACTCGAGGTGCAGCCCGCGAAGCCCTGGGAACCTCTGCAGGGAGACCGCGTCCTCCTCCCTCCCGGCCTGCCCAGCAGCAACTCGGGAAAACGCCGAACGTTTAGTCCCGTCTGCTTTGCAAGCAAAGGTGCTGCCTGTGAAGGGCCCGGCAGCTCCCGAGAACCAACGGCCCGAGAAAGCTGTGCTGTCTGCAGGGCAGAGGAGCAGTCAGCGACGGGGCTCCCCCGAGTCCCCAGCCCGCCCTTGGCCTCGGGGACAGCGGAGAGCGGGGGCATCTGGGTCCTGCCCCAGAAACAGGAAAGGGGGGAGGGGACACGATTTCTGAGCAACACGGCTTTGCTTGCTGGCATGAGGCTGTCCCTGGGCTCACGGGATGCTGCTGGGCTTCCGGAGTCTCCACCTTCTCCTTCAGAAAGTGGGACGCAACCCGAAGCCGCAAAGTCGCGGTGCGCTGCCTTCTGCCTGCCGAGCCCATCGGTCTGCGGGTCCGCGAGCCCGCACGTTCCTCCGGGCTCAAGGCAACCCGACACAAAAGCCCCCACTCTGACCGCGGCCCGAGCCTCTGAAACAGGAGGTGGTGGCCGGCCTGGCCCAGGGCGCACCCAGCCCGAACCTCAGCTTCCCACGGGGGTTACCCCGCCAGGCCGGGAAGACGCTGACCCAGCACAGCCCTCTCCCAGCTGTAGCCACACCCTCACGCATTCGTTCATTCACTCGTTCAGCAAACCCTGCTGAGCACCCAGCACGCACCAGGCCCAGCTGTCTGCACGGAGCACGCTCCGGGCAACGGCCGCTTCCCCAGCCCGGCCACCCCCTCTCTTCCAACACCCCCCCACCCCAGGCTGCTGGTCGCCAGGTGGCCATGGATCCTCTGAACTTGATGGCTTCTGACTTCTGCTTCTTTCTCTACCTCTGCTTCCTTCCCATCCCCAGACACGGAGGTGCCTCCAAGAGCAGCCCCCCAATCCCTGTGAGCTGTGAAGGGTCCTGACGCAGCCAAGGCGACTTTGCAGGCGGGTTGAGACGGAGCGACTGCTGCCGAGATGGGGATTGTCCTGGACGACTGCCGAAATGCATCAGAGACGTTCTCAGGAGCAGGAGGCGAGGGATTCTGAGCAGAGGAGAGAGGACGGTGTCAGGACGGAGGGGCTGATGCGCCTCCAAGGGGGAGGGAGGGGCCGCAAGCCGAGGCATCCCGGCGGCCTCCAGCCCCTCAGAGGAAACAGGTGATCCAGAGCTTCCTGAAAGAGCCGGCTCTGCCCACCTGGACTTGACCCGCTGCAATTGAATCTGACCCCCAGGATGTCAAGAGAATAGATAAGTGTTGTTTTCGTCCACTAAATTGTGGGAGCTTGTTATAGCAGCCACGGAAAACCGTGCATGCCTCTTCTTTCACGTGGGGGGCTCTTGGTGCCGTGGTACCCAGGCCCGGAGGGAACACCCCAGACCATCTAACGTTCCCCCAGATGCGTGGCGTTCATCAGTTCGCTAACTGGGCAAATGTGTGGGGCCTGTGTGAGTCAGGCATGGTGCCCCTGCTGGGAGTGGTGAGAACAGACACAGCCCCGGTGCCTCCCTGCTGGGGGCTGCTTGCACACACCCAGTGATGGGGAGCTCACTCTCTCCCAAGGAAGTCCATTTTATCCTGGGACAGCCCTTGCTGTTAGAAAGTTCTTTCTTTAGCTGGAATAGGGTGCCTTGGAAATTACTTCTTCCCAACGGTTCTAGGAAAGCGAGCTGCCCAGAGACGAACGCAATAACCAGGTCTTTCTGTGCCGTCACTCCCCACACCACCCCCGTGAGCGAGCCCTGCACCTGGTCACTCACCTGGAGCTCCACTCCGTCTTCCTCCACGGAGCCCGGCCTCCTCCTGCGTCACTCAGACGTCCTGCACGATGGCTTCTGGAGGCCAGGTCAGCTGTGTTTGTGAGACTCCCTCCGTCTGTCACCCATCACCTCCATACGTCACCGATATGATAGCGGCCTCAGCGCTATGTCCCCAGAAGACTCTTTCTTCTGTTATTTCTCTCTAGGCAGACCACGCCCATCCCCCCGTCCCTGATCCCCGAGCCCGCCCTGCGATGGACCGCCGGACACCTGATGTCCGACGCCGGACACCTGCCCCACCCTCGTCGTTGGCATTCTCCAGACAGCCCCAGCTCAGCCACGCAGGCAGTGGGCACGTGTCCCTCACGGTCTTCCTGCAGACCCCGACCTCAGCCTCTGCTGGTGCATTCCACGAGCCTCACCGTGCCAGGCAAAACCCTCCCGGAGGGATTCCACAGATGCAGGGAGGCCTCCGCAGGCTAATCAGGGAGCTGGCCTGCAGCAGAGACCTGGGAAGCCTCCTTATCAGCCTGGGAACCGCAGCTGCCGCCTCACGCCCACGCTAATCCAGCGACAGAGAACAGATCTAGGTGATGGGGGCGCGCCACGTATCAGAGACGAAGGGCAGGGCACCTGGAGAGGCCACTGCAGATGTGAGTGGGGGTGGCTTGTATTCACAGGCCCCCGAGCACCTTCCCAGCCCCCCCGGCGAGGCTCGTTCTCCAGCTGTGCTCACATCTGCTCCCGGCACAGGAAGGAAGACATGAAAACAAAGTGTGTGGAAAACGGGAGGTTCCCCGGCATCCCCGCTGCAATCCGCCCACTGCTGAGACAGAAGCCTGAGCGAGCATCGCGATGTATCTTCCCGGCGCCTTGGCTGAGCGGCGCACACAGCTATCGACGCGCACGGAGCGCGAGAGGCCTCGGTCTCGTTGTTTTTCCTTCGTGCGCGTGTGTCTCCCGGGTGAGGCGTCGCTGTGCGGTTTGGTTTACCCAGTGGGGCCTGAGCGTCCTCTCGTCTCTGAAGGTCACACTTGCTTCGCTCTTTCTCGGCAGCGGGCACTGTGCGTAGGAGCACCCTGTCTGTGTCCCTGTTGCTTTTGCAGTGAACACGGTGGCTGTGTGCACCCATTTCCGCTCCTGCCGGGTCCCTGAGCCTCTGTCACCAGCCGCTCTGCAGTCGCTTGTGCAAGTTGGTCTCCACCTCTTTCCCTGGCTCAGCTCCCGACCTGCAGCCACGGGCAGCCCAGGGACCCCGTGCAATTCCCGGAACAGGTGCCGAGGCTCCCCCGCCGTGGCGTGGCCCCTGTGTCCTCTCTGTCACCCAGCAGACCTGCCCGCCCTCCACGCTTGGCTCCATGGACACCTCTACCGAGGGCGCAGGGCCCACGACACTGCAGCCGGCAGTTAGATTGGCAGGAGCAGAGCAGGACCGAGGGACGCGCTGCAGAGGGTCACCATGGTGGGGACCCCCAGGTGCCCAGCAACGGGGCAGAACTACAAGCCCTGGCCCAACCACTCCCTTAAGCATTCACCACTGGAGATGACTTCTGGGCCCAGAGAGGCAGCAAGGTCAGGTGGAGCAGTCCTTGGGGACATCAGGACCAGCTGCAATGCCTGATGACCCCCGCCTGGTGCCGACCCGACCCATCGTCAGAGACCCTGAGGAGACCACCAGCAAAGCTGATGAATATTCTACTGAGATCCTCCCCTGACACCTGGGATAAAAGCTCGAAGGATGGGGGACCCAGCTGGGCTCTCTCTATGGGGCAGCCGCACCTTCCCCACCCCCTTCCCAGGCGCGCTCTCTCTCTCTGGAGCCCTGGGACTCTCTCCTCCCTCCCTCGCCCCTTCTCCCTCTCTCTCCTCCCTGCCCCCCTTAGCTCCAGGGCCCCTTCTTTTGCTGGAACTTGTTTCGTGGGCCCCTTTTTCTGCGGCTCACTTCTACCTCTGTGACTTTCCAAATAAACTTTCTCTTCTAAGTTGAGTCTTGGCCCGAACTCTCTCAGCCAGAACTCAGGGACCGCGGTTGCTGAACCGAGGTTAACCCCGGCTGCCATTTCTCCACCGCCAACAACACCGCCGACCATGGCCTCCCAGCCCCAGACGGTGCGCCACGCCAGCCAGGGCCGGCGGCGCTCGGGGACAGCCGTGAGGACGCAGAACCACCCTCCTTCCTTCCGTCTTCCTGCCCGCGTTAGGGAGTGAAGTCGGGAACCCGGTCGCACAAAGTCCTCTTCCCCTGGGGCCACGTCCCACGCCCTCGGAGCCACCAGCAGGCCCGGAGCTGGTCCACGCCGCAGAGCCGGCTCGTGAACACGCGGGTCTCTGGCCCGAGGCTGTCCTTCTGCCGTCTCTCTCTCAACCTGGTTTCGATTCGCTGTACATGGCACGCTCGCTGGGCACAGGGATATTTGCAGGGTCACCGCAGACCTCACGTGCCCAGCCCCAGCCTGCGCCCACCCAGGCCTCTGCGGGGGTTTGGGCGTGGAGGGCAGTAGAGGCTGCTGAGTTGGGGGAGGGGCTCGCGCACCGAGTCTCAGCAGTTTTTGCAAAATGCAAATTCAAGGAGAAAGTGATTAAGGATTTCAAGAGGGTGACTGCAAAGCGTTGAACCCCAAGTGCAGGGCCCTTCTGAGCACAGGCCCTGTGACCGGGCGGCCACGCACCCAGGAGGCCAGCCCTGGTCAGAGCGACCTAAGGCCCTTAGGAGAAGAACATCAACATTTAGGGTCTGTCGTGTGTCAGGTTCGGCAACTTAAAGCCTCGTCCCGCTTCCAGCTGGCCCCAGACGGCGCGAAAGGTGTGTCACTTCCCTTTCCCGAAGCTCACAGGCCCACGTCGAGTCCGGGGTGCTCTTCCCGGGCGAGCCTGGCACAGCCGCTCCTGCAACGGGGGCTCCCCGCCGCCAGCCAGCCCGCTCAGCCCGTGGAGAAGAAAGTGGCCTGGTTCCAGGGAAGGTCTGGGGCAATTTACACAGATGCAGTAAATCCAGACGCTACTGAAGCATGGACACAAACACCAGAGTCGAAGGGCACGGTGGGAGGCGGACGTTTCACCAGAACAGGAGCGAGAGGAACGGCCTCGCCCAGCCCGCGCCAGGCTTCTGGCCGCCACGCAGAGGGCGGGGCACGGCCACAGCCCTGGTTCTCCCCCGAGAGGGAGAAAACACCCTTCGTGAGACGAAGCCGGGGAAACAAGGCCGCCCCGTCTCCGTGGCGGGGACACAGGACAGCAAGTGGGACTGACTGCTGGAATCGGGGGATCACAGTTTTACAAAAACACACAGAATCCGGCCATTTCGTGAAATGAGGCTTCGTATGAAAACCACGGGCATCGGGTGCAGGTCATGGGGGTCGAGCAGGATGGACTCGGTGGGGCCTGGTTTCACCCAGACCTGTGCTTCTATCCAAAGCCCTGGGAAGCGGGGTGAACACCACTGGCCCCTTCATCCAGGGGTCCCCAGGTGTTCCCCCAGGTCAGTGGAAGAGCAGGAGCCTGTTCAATGAGGCGAGGCGGGGTGCTGAGTGACACCACCCTGTGGGCAGTAAGTGCCCCCCCTGCTCCCCACGGCACACCTACGCACACTACCTCCCTCCACAAAAGTCTCTTCAAGTAAAACAAAATAACATCCTCTTCTTCAGAAAGATGATGTGTTTGTTCTTAGTTGATATAAAAGTATGTTGCTAACAGCATTGCTATTTTTTTGCCGTGTAAACATGACCTTGGCAAAGGCCGACCTTGGAGAGACTCCTGGAGAACACAGGGCCCGGCAGATGGTGTGGTGGGCTCGCTGGAGCTGGAGAGGGGACCGGCGGGCGGGAGGGAGGGAGGCCAGTGAGTGGCCTCTGCCTGGGCTGAGGAGCTCCAGGGGAGGGTGGGGGAGGGGCTGAGCGGAGGCAGTGCCTGTGGCCAGGCCAGCCTGGCTCCCTCCCAGCCCAAGGGACCAGCTGTGAGCCCGCAGGCCAGCCTGCCCCCCGCATTTGTATAAGGGTGATGAGGGCTCAATGAACAAATCAGCAGGTACCCAGGCCAGAGCTACAAACACGTCCTCAGAACATCACTTCCCTCCTCCTCCCCCGTGGGGCCTGCCCACACTTACAGGGCCCTCGTGCGCACACCCCATGACACAGAGGAGTCTGGGCCCCTTGGGAAGACAACAGAGCAATAAAAAGCGGCTCAGGGGACGGAGAATCGTCTGACTCCTGTGAAGGAATCTCTGTGTTCCCTGCAGGGAGGAGCCGCGATCCCCCTGGGTCTCCAGAACCTTCGCTCAAATGAGGACTCTGGGGAATCGTGACTTGCTGGAGAACATGGCCGTGGGGCTTGCTGGGTTTTCTTAAACCCCACCGTTCTGTGGGCGCGGTAATGACCGCACAGGACACCCGTGACCGAGGGCTGGGCGCGGCTGCAGGCCAGCGTGAGCAAGCAGCCCAGGCCCACTGTCCTGGGGGCCCCGGGGGGTGCCAAGGAGATCTGGGTGTTTCCGGGGCTTGCCCAGAGCTCGGCTCAGACTCCCCGAAGCTGGACTCTCCTGGCAGGGCCCGGCTGCAGAAAGGGGAAGGTGAGCAGCCCCTTAGCACCCTTTAGTGTCCATACGTAAGACCCTTCATGGCAGAAAAAATCATCATCCCCAAACTACCCTTCTAAAGGCTACACAAGGAAAGTTAAATTTTAGTAAGAAAGATGAACCCTTTTTTTTCCATTCTGTTGAGTAGACTGCCGACTACATCTCTTCTGGACACCCTGTTCCAGGGGCCTCAACGCGCATGTCCTGGGAACCCTGTGCCATCCTAGATGCCTCGGTGACAGAGGTGAGTGGCGTCCAGTCCCGCCCTCGGGGAACATGCAGTCCAGCACAGAAGGGGACCAGGCAGTGTCAACATGATCAGACAAGTAGCTATGAGCTTTAACCCCATGACTTCCAAGATCAGACTCGAACATGCCCAGGAGACAATGTCTGAGGTGTCTGGTCCCCAGCCCCCACCCACATTTGACCCAACGAGAGAGCTCCAATTTCTAGGGGACCCACTTCTTTAGAACTGGTCCCCTAGAGCCAAGGTGGCCACTGAGTTTCCCCTTCGGGGCCAACCTCAGCTGCCTGCAAGTGAGCATGTGTTCAAAGGGTTTTGAGCCAAGCCAGCCAGACTCAGTGTCGGAGAACCAGGACGAGCCCTGGGTACCCCCAACCCCCATGGAATTACTGATATTTCACATCCTGATAGTTCCGCTCAACTGGTGTTGTCTCCCCAGCCTGACCCAAATGAATGACCCAACTTCTTCAAACTTCCTCTAACTCCCTTTCACAGTGCCCACCCTCACTTCCCAGGGCAGCCCCCCTCGACCCCCCGACTCCCCAAGGGTCTGGGCGTGCAGGGGGAGGCATGCCTGGCCCCGGGGCACAGCCGCCCGAGATGGTGAGCAAAATAAATTTGGCCCTAATTAGTTCACTCAAACCATCCGCCAAGGAGCAAGCTCGGAGGTTGGGGCTGATTAGTACTTGTTGCTAAGCCAGGGGTAATTA